GCTGCGAGAAAATGATCCCTTAAAAGAGACTTTTCGATCAGACCTGGTCCTTTGGAAGTCCAAAATACAGATGCATGAGCTCAGCGCGACCGTACTATTAGTTGATGCAGACTCTAGCCCGATACTCAGGGCGATGGTGATCAGTGAGTTTTGATGACCAAAGAGATCTCAAACCCCCAAACCGATCTTAGAGCCGCCTCGTCCGCAACAAAGTACAAGCGTGCTACCCTATCATCGCGAATTGTGCATCCAGTGTTTGTGGCCCGAAAGGTCTCTTGAGCATGATAGGATGCTTCGCTAATTCGGCCATATCGAGCCCCTATAGGGTAAAATAGCACGAGGAAGAGAAAGCTGATGTATGAGAGGCAGAACATGGTTCACTCTGTTAAGGTGTTTAGAGCAAGGCCTAGCTTCGAAAAGCAAACGATAAACACCAAGGCTTTTGCGCTGAAAGTTTGGAAGCCTGCCTTTGATATGGCGGCGCAGCATAACGGGGATCGAGAATTATGTGGGTTTCACTGATTGATTCATGTCACTACCTGTGTCATTCCCAAACTCCCACGCTGAATATCGTCACTTGTAAGACTGTTTTTCACCGTGCCTTCACTCCTGATATGTCACTCTAGACCGATGAAGTATCAGACACCGTCACTAGTCAGACAGACAGCAGTGTAGGGTCTTATACATTTATTAAAAGAGCGAGCTCCTCTCTTACCTTCCTCTCTCCTCCGCACCCATTTTCTCTACTCTCAGATTCTCAATATTCTGGCCATGTCTACGTCTTCACATACAGGCCGGGTTATATCCACCAAGAGCCTTGAAACGCTGTGAAGTGGATTTGACCACCACTTCTCAGGCATTAGATCCAATACCAACAATGCAAAGACAAAACTATCTCGGAGCGAGCAACTTCTCACCGCACAGATCAGCGAAATCCACGCAGATGGATACTTCGAAACCGCCACCTTACTGCTCAAAGAAGCTTTAGCACTTGTGCATAATACCAGGGAGTTGGTAGAGAAGACTTCACGGCATTTGGATTTGATTGAGGCGAGTATTAAGAAAATAGATCGCACAAAGATATCCCCGTATAATCCGGCGGAGGTGGTGAAGTTGCAGCTTGGAAGCGCTTCGGTGCAGATGGCGATGATGATAGTGGAGGAATCACTGCTTGGTATTACTGAGCAGTTGAGGTTGTTGGAAATGTATGAGAAGGCGTAGATTGTTTATAGTGTGAAGAGGAATATAATTGAGATACCCACAGAACGTATAAGCAAGCATGACACTCCATCCGCACCATCACACACTGATTCCATTCCGTATCATCTCTACAAGTTTGCGCTCCTAAAATTTAAGCCTGTGACGTGTGGTAATTGATGTCTGGTGTCAGTGATGAATCATCCAGGCCATGTCAGCATCTCAGTGCTCGTAACGTCGAATTCATATATATTGCGTTCGCCCAAAGATCGACTCAGAGAAAACCCACCTTCTAATCAGCTTCACTGATCATGGACTTCAACACACCAGTTCCTCAATGGCTTTGGCCCTGGGTCCATGTCGCGGACCCCTTAAAGATCACTCGCTACACAGCACGGAATGAATACGACAAGCACCTGAAAAAAGCACAGTCAGGAATCACCAAACTCCAGAGCCTCATCAAGAAGGCGTCCAACAGGTTGAATGCTTGTCAAGGGATATTTAACGATGAACAACGCCCTAAGAGGGCAAACCTCCTTAACGCACAGTGCATGATACTTCATATTGGTCACAGCTATGTTAGGTTGCGGACAGTGGTATCTCATTATCGGCGCTTTGTTATGTCGCCGAATTACTACCTTGACCCAGATGAGGGGTGCGCTATTGGGATGCAGAGTCCGATGGAGATGGTTTGCGAATTGCTGAAGGAAATGGAGAAAGCTATAGTGTACATTGAGAAATACAAGGTATTTTTCACGAGTAAGCTGCTATCTGTTCTTCTTCAAAATGCGCAAGTCTAAATTTACACTGGGGTAATGCAACAGGTGAGTCTTTCCTTTTTTTTTGCGATATACCTGAGTCCCACGTAGAAAAGTTACAGGTCACAGCCTGAAAGTCGTGGAAATGATAGCAGCCGTACTGTGGTAAACTTCAAAGTGCTAGCTCGCACTAAGTTTGCAAACAGGCCAGCGCGTTTGACAATTCACCGAACTAAATCACTCTGAATCAATGAAACCATGTTTGTTTGATTCTCACGCCATCGTCCCCATAAATCATGCCTTGGATGAAGTTTGCATGTCTGCTGTGATTGTCGGTGAAGCCCATGTCTCAAGATTCTCAGTTCCACCCCAGCGATTTAGCTGTGAAATCGAAGATTGAATCCGTTTGACAGTTCTAGAAGATGCAAGTTAAAGAAGTAATCCCATTCTACAACTGCAACGGTCCTTACTACCATTTAAGTTCCCACCTTCCGCCTCAACCAACACCCGCTCTTCTTCGAATCACCACTTCCACGCTTTCGGGAATGAATACCTCCGATAACCACGAACCACGACCCATGGCGCCACTCATCGCCGCTAAATGGGACCAATACGACGCTTTACTCGCCACCATCAACAACAACCTCGCCCTTGTGGAGAAATACGCCAAAGCCACGCCCCAAAAGATAAAGCAAGGAGATAATTCTACAGCCTTCATTCATCCTATGGTCAGAAACGAGCAGCTGCAGGCATATTGGCAGGGAAATGACCACGTCAAGGAGGTCAGAAGTCAGCTTAGGGGAAACCAGGACGTCATGAAGATGCGAGAAGACGGCATTTCTCCTGAGCGATGTTTGCTGTCGGCGACGGAGCGGGAATTCCCGGAGAGTCCATTCGATGTGTTGAGGAAAGTGGATAGGGAGGTCGAAGAAAGATTGGAGGGGCTTCGGCAGCATTTTACGAGTGAAGAAAAGAGGCAGATTGAGAGTCAAGGTTGAGGCATAGATGTGCTAGTCAGATCTTCCATTGCTATATGACCTTTGAAGCGTTGAAGGAAGGAGTTGGCCGACATGGGCGTGATAAATGATAAGATCGCAGAACTTGAGTAGGGGGTGGGAAATTCAGTTATCAACTAGTGAATAAAACTTTGGGTGCTCCAAACATATACATTGAATGTGACAACAACAGGCTTCTCCGCCTTGGTATCCCCATCCTTGTCTGAAAGCTTTTGTTAATGATGATTATGCGCAACAGCAATACAGCATTGATCCAAATTATGGCAACGGCAGCATACCCTTATGAAATGGGAAAGCTCCTCAAGAGTTCCTTCCATGTGGTGATTGCGTTTGCGGAGAAAGCGGTGTCAGTGACGAAATCACGCTAGCCACCGTGTCACCGATGTGGTGCTTGCGCATCCTGGTACACCGATTTGAAAGCAAAAAAAGTGTCACTTTCCCAAAGGGTCACATTGAAGTCAGTCGCACTGAGCAATCGCCTGTTGCTGTGACAGCGGTCCTCCATCTTACTCCATGCTACGCTAATCCAACTCCTCTGGCGATTAATCTCCTTCTCCCTTTCTCAGTTCTCAACGACCGACATCTCTATCCCATCCCTCTCTTTCCGCACTGCTGCTTCGACTCTGGAGTCTGACCAGCGTTTTTCAGCATCCGAGTCAACTCGATATGCCCTTCGACAGTCACGGCCAACTCCACGCTGGCAGCATCGGACTCTTCGACGACGACGACGAATGGTACCGGACTCAAGATCGGCTCGACCGTAACAATGCCCGCGAACTCCACCACATTGATCGCGGGCACCGCAAAGCTGAGAAACGACGAGCTCGAGCCGAGAATTCCTCCTGGTGGTGCCGCTTATTCGGTCGCAAGAAAGTCAAACAAGCGGCAGACCAAGCAACAAATTCGACGAGTGAGAAGAAGCCAATCCAGGTGGCAGCGCCGGTGAATCTTAGTCATATGAATGGGTCGATAGAGGAAGTGGAGAGCGAGTACGGGGAGGAGGATGAGTGGCCGATGTACGATGAGGAGGATATTGTCGATGTGGATTCGGAATTGTACGACATATTGGGTATGGTGTTGGTGAAAGAGAAGACGCCGGAGCAGAATAATGTTGTACTGAGGAGCCAGATTCGGTGGAAGGATTGTGAGAAAGCTGGTCCGCCAACGAATTTATTGGATTGAGGTTTGGTTGATGTTATCGCTGCGTTGGGGAGGTTCTATACTTGTGCTTATATTATTTGACTTGAAATATTGTTGGACAGTTCGTTTGAAAGCTTTCTATATGTTGTGGGGACAGCTCATGCGTGAGCTGTAGAGTCAAGCCGGGAAAAGATACTTCACTTCAGACTTTTCAATGTTGTGGGCTGTTAGGTTCAGCTCATTTAAGAATACATGACGTTCATAAAGTGCACGACACCCTCTTAACCCCGTACCGTGAAGGCCTCTTCAATCTCCAACCTTCCTTTCATAACTTTCCAATCAACATGTCAACTCCGAATAACCCATCTGAACGGGCTTCCGACTCAAGACCTTCACTTGCGCCTCTCCACGACGACGTTCGTGACGAGAGAGATCTTGCAGGAGAAATCGCAAGTCTTTCGAATAAGATAAATGTCTTGATAGACAGAAACAATGAGCTGGAAGATCTGGTCGAGAGGCAAGCTGTCCTGGTTGTAGAGCTGAGGAAACATGTCCACTCCGCGCTTTTACATATGGCGAGGCTGAGCGCGGTGACGAGCGAGATGTTAGAAGTAGTTCCTGATGTATTGCCATAGTAGAATCAGATGAGCAGCAATTTAGTATATCGACTATTGATCTATATTTAGGAATCACTGGGTGCGCCTGTAGGCGTTAGTATCCTTCCGTCCCCGCAATTTTCTTCATGTAGTGAGTTTGAAATTTTCGGCCGCGGCGGTGACTCACTCAAACGCTCAGATGCCAGTGTGACGACCCCTCCCACAACCCGTAGATAAACCATCCATGTATATGTATTTAATAGTGCCCGGAGATTTCCATCAATCAACTACAAAGCGATTTAGCTCAGGGGAAGAGCGCCGGTAAGCTTCACCAGCTCGTTGTATCATATTCTCTCACTAACCAAATCAGGGCTCATATAAAATTGAAACCCGGAGGTCAAAGGATCGAAACCTTTAATTGCTATAATGAGTATTCTTTTTGCCCTTTTGGGTGATGTTTGGCGGTTCGCTTTCTATAGTGAATGGTGACAGCTAGTCATTCCCCTTTTTTCACCCGGTATAATTGGCAAACACTATCATGGAATATCTGTGACTGCTGTTGTACAGCTCCAAACTTAACACTTATTGATCTGCGTACGTGTAAATTGAAACAATCGAGCTAGCGCCGCGTAACACGTTCAGTGGACGTAGTATTCAATGAGGCAGATACCTGTCCGCCAGCACACCATTTGGACACGTTGTCCATCTGAGCGGCTAGATTTAAGAAATTCAATTCCGCTCGCCTACCTATATTTTCTCTGTTCCCATCATGCCTAGAGACCTCACTGATTTTGACCTCTACCAGAATCTCAAGCAAGACTATCACATCACAGCAGCCCGACTCAGCGCCGCACACTCCACACAATAAATAATACACAAGTTCAGAACGTCGACTATTACCAGCATATCGCCATGCTTGAGGAGTCTCTGGAGGATTTGCGGCTCGTGTCGCGGTCCGCGAAAACTGATTACGGGAGAATGGAAGAGGAGAACAAGGAGCTGCGCCAAGTGAACGCGAAACTGCACAAACGTATAGAAGAGCTGGAAAAGAGGCACGGAACGGAAAGTAAGGAAGGGTTAAAAAGAGACCGGGAGCCGTCATTATGTCCGAGATGCAAGATCGTGAAGGAGAACAGGGAAATTGAGCATGCTGCAGAGATGCAGCGCCGGAGGGGCGGAGACGATTGGGAAAGAAGTGATATGGGGACACCTGTGCCTAGTGAGGTGGCTAATGATTGGTCTGAAATTTGATGGTTGGGAGTGGTGTGAAAGGGGTGTTGTTATGTTGTGCGTAGATGTAAGAGTATAGTTAGTAAGGCAGCTAAGGGGAATCAGAACTTGCTGCGATAACCACCTTTCTTCTCTTCTACCATGGAGTTGACGAGCATTCAGCCGGCCAAGATGATTTGGTGAAGCGCTCTCCAAAACAGGCCCTAATATGGCTTTTAACGCCGTTGCTATACGTACCTTATTGTACACAAAGTCTCCAAGCTCAGATTGCAAGTTGAAAGTAAACAGCAAATACACGCCATACCTTTGCCTCGACACATTCCAGGCACGCACCTTTTTGACGCTCTAGAATCCTCTCACCCACAGCACGTCCAACCTCATCTCCTCCAGCAACCCTTTAAGCCGACAGTACCGATTATTTTCAAACCAAAATACCATCAAAAAAACAAACGCAAAGTGACTCAAACACATCCTCCACGTCCCATCAATACCTAACCGAATACCTCTCGCAAAACAACCCGATCTGCACACAGACCGTCGCCAGAAGCGTGATATAAGTCTCTGACGCCTTGTTCCACGAGCGGTAGAGTACTGTTTGGATGTTTGTGGTGACGGAGAGGACGGAGATGCCGAAGTGGATGATGACGGGGAAGAAGTAGATAAGTTGGGGGTATGGTATTAAAACTTGGTAGATGGGGGGAACTAAGGCGGAGAGTAGGAGGAGAACGAGAATAGACGGACGTGTGGGTTGGTAGAGGGTGATTGACGGCGGCATTGTGGATTTGTGTTTGGTTTTTATTGGACTGTGATGAGAGTGGAGTGCTTGGAGGGAGCTCTCGTGGAGCAGAGGAAGTTGGCACTTAAGGTAGCTTTCGTATATAAGTAATTTGTGTAAGTTTTGGCGTACGTTATGAATAGGAGGGAGAAGTAGTGGTGTTAATTGTCATTCGCTAGCGCGTATTTGATCTTGAAGAAGTAAGTTTTCATGTAAACGAATCGAAGACCCACTATCCTACTCAACGTTTCATGACTCCTCCCCAGCAATACTCCTCAACAGTTGTGATTACTCTGGATCACCAGCACGCTGGCGACTAGCCCGCTCGTGGGTGGAGCGCACTCAACCAGTCGGCCATGATCTCGCCAATTCAGCGGCCTGAGTATGTAATGGCGAGTCTACAAGCTAGCAAGACTTATTTCGGGGAAAAAGTCACCGAATCAACGAGGCAATTCGGTCGAAAGTAGTGAAGGATGCGCTGAATTTTTCTTCCAGATATTTAGAGCCGTTCCTCATGCAATCGAGTGTCGCATAAAACATCGTCCGTGTATCCAAGTGCTCCGCAGAGGAAAAGCCCTCCATCGCACAAGCCGTTGCCAATCGGCGGGTATCACAAAACACCACATCATTCCGCCTTCTTCCCCTCCCCTATACTCCCCCAACCCATCTTCCATCACCGCACACTCCTCGCACTCCTAATCCTCTCCTCCACCAACGTGACCAACCCCTCCTTCTCCCTAACCGCCCTTACCCTCTCCCCCTCCAACCCTTCCAGCTCCCTCTCCAACTCCCTCATCCTCTCCACCTGCTCCTTCTCACTCGTATCCAAGCCCGGTAGACTCGCAATCAAGACCTCAATCTGCTGTTCCTTGAGGTAGAGGTCGCGGCTCAGTTCGCGAACGTCCTTTTGGAACTCTTCTGGCGACGGTGGTGGAGGTGGAGGGGCGGCCTGTGAGGGGTTGGAGTTGGGTTGGGAGGCGGCTTGTGCGGCGGCGGATTGGGCTTCGTGTTCGGCGAAGGTGGAGAGGAGGGGTTGGTTTGGGATGGCGGCGGGTGGGGCGCGGACGCGGATGTAGGCGAGGGAGGACTGCATCTGGTTTAGGAGCTGGGAGGTTGTTAGTTTTGAGGGGATATGGGAGAGGAGTAGGTGTACCATGTCCAGCTCGTCTTGTATTTGCGTGAGTATGTCGGCCATTGTTGCGGGGTTGAGGTGGGCCTCCAAGAAGCTTTCGAGGTGAGAATTGTATTTTCGAGTAAATTATAAGCTCTGGTTATTATTCTAGAGGTCGATTGCGAAATCTGAGTGGAGTGGGAGTGTAGGATGGTGGTGGGTAAAGGAGTGAAGTCATTGCTTGAAGCTCAACCGTTACGAAGCCATAGGGCTGACTAGCGCGTTGTAAAGTCTCGGCACGCGTCGAAAAGTTACGCGCCATGTCTCCAAATCTCCTAACCACACATCATTCTATTACACTTTCTACGCTGCTCTTCACGTCACTCCTTCTTGTAAATATGTTGCACATCTTAGTCTCTCCTTCATATACACAGTAATGCGTTCCCTCCGCCCATCATGCTTCAAACAACCACTCTCACCAGTACCCCTTCACCGACTCCCCCGAACACCTCCGCAAACCCTCATCCCACGCCGCATAGTCACAACCTCGACCTCCAACACAGCCCCCATCGACGTCCCTAAGCTAATCGTCTCCCCCGGCTCCACGCACCACAACTCGCTCTCCACCTTCCTCACCTACGCGGAGCGCAAGAACCTCAACAAAGCCTCGACCGTCTACGTCGGCACGCTTTACGAATACACAGCCGCAGTCTCCCTCCTCCGCCTCGGCTTCTCCCTCCTCCGCACCGGCCGCAAATCAGACGCCGGCATCGACCTAATCGGTCATTGGGTGCTCCCCCCGTTCCGCGAACCCATCCCCGTGATCGTGCAATGCAAAGGCACGAAATACAACAGCGCACCGACACACATCCGCGAACTCGAGGGCTCCTTCAGCAACGTGCCTCCCGAATGGAAGAGCCGCAATGATGTCCTAGGACTATTCGTCACAGCGCATAATGCCACAAGCGGTGTCCTGCACACCATAAGCACCAGCCGCCGACCACTAGCTTTCGTCAAGATCACTCCGGACGGCACCGTCGAGCAACTCCTCTGGAACCACGCCGCCTCGGAGCGCGGTCTCGAAGGCGTTGGCGTAACACTACGACACACACCGCGCGTCCTGCTCCCCGCACCGTCTGAATGGGGCCCAAACCCGTCGTCGAAAACCACGCGCGCGCGCTCACAACGCCTCAAAGCTTTGAAGAAGTTCCGCGCCGAGGGCACGAAGAAAGACGTGCGGTTGACATGGCTCGGCTCCCCTATTTCCGCCGAGCGCGAGGCGCTGGACGACGAAACCACCAAACTCGTCAAAACCATCGAGGGGGCTGAGGACGTGACGTCGCGGAATGTAAAAGAGGGCAAGGCTAAGGCGAAGCGCAAGAAGTCTAAGAAGGCCGAGGGAAAAGAGGCTGTACCGGCGACTCACAGCAAGAATGGAAAGAGATTGGGTAGACCGCCTGGTGCCAAAAATACGGTTAAGGGGGTGAGGAACGCAAGCTCCGAGGGAAAGCAGAAGAGGCAAATGCAAAAATATGTTTCGCGGCCGAGGTTTTCGGAAAGCGGGAAGAGGCTTGGAAGGCCGCCTGGGGCGAAAAATAAGAAGGCTGTGGGTGGTGAGAAGACGGCGGAGAGTCCACCACCTATGACTGAATCAAAAAGCGGATCGGAGATGCAAAGGGTGCCAGAAAAAGGGTGAAGTGTGCTATGGGGGATAGGATGTAACCTATACAGCCCAACGAACAATACGCCGAGCTAGAAGAGGTGGTGCGTGAACGTGGATTCGAGACCTCGCGAGGAACTCTCGGATTAGAGATGAAGGCGGTAATAGGAGCAAGTATGCGCGGCTTCACGCACCGTCGAAGAAGGGACCTTTGCAAGAACCTAGCGCATAGCAAGACGCACGCAGAACCGAGCAGAGTGAGAGGAACGAAGATGAACAATGGCATACATCCTATGCGATACAAAAGAAATACTATTAATAACCATACTATTGCCACCCCTTCGCAGACCAACAGTTTTCCTCTTGACAAACGAGAATTCTCCCCATCAATAATCGAATCGTTCAGGAAGCACAAGCGGCGCCACTAGACTCCACACATAGATGGCATAGCACACCCACGCACTGACAATCTTCGCCCAACTAGCCCAGTACGTCCGCCCGACCGGTACAAAGTCGTTCGACATGTCCTTTTCGTCAAAGTTGGATGTGAGGAGGGTAGCAACCCAGGTGGTGCTGAGGAAGAAAATGATGTGGAAGAGGGAGTAGTTGTACTGTGTAGCGTTGCGCTCATCGTCCCTAGGCTTGGGC